ATTGTGGGTGGGGCGTGTGTTAGGTTTCTATGGAACCGGAGGAGGAGGAAGAGCATGTAGGCTGTGTGTGTCTGCAGGCCAGAAGAGGGCACCAGATCTCAGTACAGATGGTTGTGAGCCACCATGTGGTTGCCGGGAACTGAACTCAGGACCTTTGGAAGAGCAGCCAGTGTTCTAACCACTGAGCCATCTCTCCAGCCCCCAACAGTTTGGGGTCGGTCCAGAGGTGTATGGACCTGTCTTCCCCTACTGGTTGGGTAGGTTTATGGGTGTCGGTGCTCCTCTGTCTTCACAGGTGATAGAACTTCCTGGCCTACGAAAGGTGGAATTATACCCGATCGAGCTCCTGCTCGTCCAGCACAGTGATATGGAAACAGCTCTCACCATTCGGTTCAGCCACACTGATTCTGTGGGTGAGTCTCGGGGCCTCTGGGATGGGCTGGATTTCAGCTGTTTGAGTCGGGTGCAAAAGAGTTATGAGTGTGGGGGGCTGGAGAGATGGCTCAGTGGTTAGAGCATTGCCTACTCTTCCAGAGGTCCTCAGTTTAATTCCCAGCAACCACATGGTGGCTCACAACCATCTGTAATGAGGTCTGGTGCCCTCTTCTGGCCTGCAGACATACAGACAGAATATTATATACATAATAAATAAATATAAAACAGAATTAGAATATTGTATACATAATAAATATTTTAAAAAAGATTAAAAAAAGAGTTATGAGCGTGTTAAGTGTGTGAGTTACTCATTTTTGGAGATTGATTTGAGGGCACAGATATTGGCTAAGTAAACAAAGTCTGAAAACGAGCTAAAGCCATCAAACAAGTAAGTATTCTGGGACCCCGGAATATACAGTCTTGTTCCGTCGCCCTCCACAGACTTCGTCTTGCAAACAGCTCGGGAGCAGTTTCTGGTAGAGCCTCACGAGGATGCACGCCTCTGGATCAAGAACTCTGAGGGCTCTTTGGATCGGTTGTGCAACACCCAGGTCACACTGCTCGAGGCCTCCATTGAGACCGGGCAGGTAAGCCTGGTGGTCAGGGACGTGCAGGGCAATTAAGACTGGTGGTCAGGGACGTGCAGGGTGTGCCTCCGGCCCTTTCATTAATGCTTCTCTTTTTCCTTTCTCTACTTCTAACCTAGCTGGTCATCATGGAGACCCGAAACAGAGACGGCACCTGGCCCAGCGCACAGCTGTGTGGCATGTGAGCCCTTGCTTGGGGTGTCGTGGAGAGTTGGGGTACCCCATAGTAGGTGTACAGAACCTACAAATACAGAGCAACCTACCCGTCATAGTAGGCTCTTAGCTCATAGGGTTTCTCTTTTTTTTAAAAAAAAAAATTATTTATTATGTATACAACATTCTAAATTTTTATATTTATTTATTATGTATACAGTATTCTAAGTTTTTATATTTACTTATTATGTATACAATATTCTAATTTTTATATTTATTTATTCATTATGTATACAATATTCTAATTTTTTTATATTTATTTATTTATTATGTATACAATATTCTGTGTACCTGTATGTCTGCAGGCCAGAAGAGGGCACCAGACCCCATTACAGATGGCTGTGAGCCACCATGTGGTTGCTGGGACTCAAACTCAGGACCTTTGGAAGAGCAGACAATGTTCTAACCGCTGAGCCATCTCTCCAGCTCAGCTCATAGGGTTTCTCATTCCATCCCAGGAACAACACACCGGAGGAGGATGAAGACTTCCGGGGACAGCCGGGCATCTGTGGCCTCACCAACCTGGGCAACACATGCTTCATGAACTCGGCCCTACAGGTTGGGCCATTAGAGCTATGTCGGGCACAGCTATGGGGATTAGGTATTGGGGACGGAGCTAGGGGATGGAGGGGGGTGATGATTGCAGGGCGCCAGATCTCTTTACAGATGGTTGTGAGCCACCATGTGGTTGCCAGGACTCGAACTCAGGACCTCTGGAATAGCATGCAATGCTCTAACCACTGAGCTATCTCTCCAGCCCTTCCTGATCCTTTTACTGGATCCCCACTGCCAACCCTTCTTCCCCATTCTGTCTCCCATTTCCCTCTTCTTCCTCCTTCCTCCTTCCCTTTCCTTTTCTTACTTTTCCATGTGGTTGCCGGGACTCGAACTCAGGACCTCTGCAATCGCATGCAATGCTCTAACCACTGAGCCACCTCTCCAGCCCTTTCCTTTTCTCACTTTTCTCGCTTTTCCACCTCACCTCTCCTCCGCCTCTTTCGCTGGACCCTACGACCACAGTGCCTCAGCAACGTGCCGCAGCTTACGGAGTACTTCCTCAACAACCGCTACCTGGAGGAACTCAACTTCTGGAACCCTCTGGGCATGAAGGGGGAGCTCGCCGAGGCCTACGCTGACCTGGTCAAGCAGACTTGGTCTGGCTACCACCGCTCCGTCGCGCCGAGTGTGTTCAAGGTGCGACTCTACCCCCTGGGCTCTCCTACCCTTCCTTCCTTTTTTTCTTAAGATTTTCATATTTTTTATATATTTACTTATTTATTATATATACAATATTCTGCCTGCACATATTCCTGCAGGCCAGAAGAGGGCATCAGACCTCATTACAGATGGTTGTGAGCCACCATGTGGTTGCCGGGACTTGAACTCAGGACCTTTGGGAAGAGCAGGCAGTGCTCTAACCACTGAGCAATCTCTCCAGCCCCCCACCCTTCCTTTCTTTTGGTCCTCCTGACTCCTGCTGACTCTACAACACCCGGCTGTCCCCTCACAGAACAAGGTCGGCCATTTCGCATCCCAGTTTCTGGGCTACCAGCAGCATGACTCGCAGGAACTGCTGTCATTCCTCCTGGACGGACTGCATGAGGACCTCAATCGAGTCAGAACGAAAGAATATGTGGAGCTGTGCAATGGTGCTGGGCGGCCGGATTTGGTAGGCTACCCTCTCTGGTTTCCCATACCTACCTCAGAGTATCCCCAATTAGGCTCCTGTCCTTCATAAACTTCTTTTCTTTAAAAAAAAATTATTTGTTTATTTGTTTTATTTATTATGTATACAATATTCTAATTTTTATATTTATTTATTATGTGTATAATATTCTAATTTTTATATTTATTTATTATATATAAAACTCTAACTTTTTATTTATTTATCATGTATACAATATTCTAATTTTTATATTTATTTATTATAT